TCTGTAACATTTATATGACGACCACACAGTTCTAATGCCTTCTTATTTTTTTCAGGATACTATTTTTGAGACAACAAATTAAGGAACTTGAAAAGCTAAAAAATCAGAATTCCTTCATGGTCTGAAGATGTGAATAATTGCACATGGTTTTGAGTACAGGAACTGTAAATCTGTTGCCCAATCTTAACATTTTTGATCTGCATTTAAGTAGACTTTGGACCGTTAAGCTGGGCAAAGGAAATGACAAGGGGACTGGGGTCTGTGAGAGTTGATTCAGGGGAAAGAGACAAGACTGATGTAAAACCCTTGAAATGTAGATTTAATGTAGATGTATTCTTCACGTTGTAAATATGTTTTGTAGAGTGAAGCCATGGGAAGCCATGTGTAACAGAGCTTAGACATCCAAAACTAATTAATGCTGAGGTGGCTAAATACCTAGCCTTTTACATGTAAACCTGTCTGCAAAATTAGCTTTTTTAAGAAAAAAAAAAATGGAGGGGGGGGGTTTAATTTATCATTCAGAAATCTTGCATTTTCAGAAATTCAGTGCAAGCGCCAGGTGATCTGTGTCTAAGGAGATACAATTTTGAACCATATAGGCAGTGTACAAAATATCATGAAACAACTATTTCCACACTTGCACCTGATCAAGAGCAGTGCTTCTCCGTTTGTTTTGCAGAGAAATGTTTTTTTCATTTCCGATGTGTTCCATTTCCCTCTGAAATACTTGATTTGATTTTATCCATTTTTTAAGGCTCCTCTTTTTTCTCCTTTCTTAAGGCACTGTTGCTATGGCACTTTTCTATAATCTTTTCATTCCTGTGTACAGTAGCTTAAAATTGCAGTGATTGAGCATAACCCACTTGTTTGTATAAATTATTGAAATCCATTTGCACCCTGTAAGAATGGAATGGACCTAAAAGTACTGCTGGACGTGAGTGTGTGCTGAAAGTACATTGATTGCTCAAATGTAAGGAAATGGCCCAATGAACATGGTTGTGGGAGGGGAAAGAGGAAACAAAGCTAGTCAGATGTGAATTGTATCTGTTGTAATAAACATGTTAAAACAAATAAAATGTTATTTTTCTTTTCCTTTTGTCAAATGCATATTAGAATTTGAACTACCTGGGGATTCTTTATCAGAACTATTCTTGTTGAATATTTATACTTAATTGAAATAAGTCCTTAAAGGAGGTTTCGTTTAAAGCAGATTAACAGGAAATGTGTATAAGATATTTAATGAACTATGAAATTCAACAAGAATGATTAAGTCACTTCCCAAGTGGTTGTCATTTGTTAAATCCTGGTTTACCTGTCTTGCTATTATGACATTTCATTTTGAAGGATGTTTGTGTTGTAGCTAACTGTTCAAGTCTGGTGCTGACTGCTGTTCTTAGCCATCACAAAACGCTAAATTTGTGTAATTGGAGCTTCCTACTGTTAGCTGGAAATGGTGGAGAAGCTCAGCTTTGTATATTGTTTTCCTAAAGTATATTAAAATAAAAAAAGAAACTATTGCTACTATAAAATTACCTTGGCTTTTTTTTTCTCTGCTAAAATATTGGTCAGCTGGCCTTAGCATGACACTGCCAGTATTATATCAAGTCACAAGGGTTTCTTTATGCAGAAAAAAATCTTAATTTCAAAATCTTATCCAATTTTAGAGCCTTTTTTTCCTGTCGAGGCAGATGTATTCATGTGCTTTCAGAGAACTGCCAGCACCAAGGGCTTATTTTGTGATGTGAGACATTAATGTTATTACATTCTGGGATACTAAAATTTTGAAATTGCTCTTGTTGCTTTAAGCACAATTTAAGGTATAGAAGATAATGCTCAGCCTTTTCAATAATATTTAAAAAATAAACTGTAAGAGATAGTATGGATGATATTTTCTAAAATACAAAAACGTTCCAGTATTATTAAAAGGAATTAGAATCTTATACTGGAGACTGATTTTTTTTTTATTGTAACTTGAGCATAAAATGTAAGAAGAACCAAATGTCATAAGTTTTATCATCATGAAATGTTTATACCTATGAGATTGTTAACATTTGCTGGACTTGATTAGTGCATGTAAATGAAACTCGGAAGAGAACTATGTTAAGCTAGAACCCTTACTAATGTAGTCCTGTATATTTCCAGGAAAGAAGTAAGCAATTTGCTATGTGGTAGGCAAAGGTTTCCTGATCAGATGGTAACTCATATAAAGGATGCCTGGTTTGAAATTTCCTGGTGAATTTTTAAACACAGAAAATTAAAATTTTTGTAGTCTATTTTTACAATATTTGAATCACTTATTCTATAAAAAATTATTTTAAATATTGCACTTTAATACAGACATGGTGTCCAGCTACTAACCTTCTTGAGGTAACCAGGGACTGTTTCTAAAAATAGACATAATATCAGAGAATACACATTTTGGTGGGCTCCTTGATTCAAATAATTTGAGAATGGAAATATGAATAGCCCCTAGGAAACCTCAGGGTTTTAATTTTTGTTTTAAAAGGGACATATTCAAACTATGCTGTAATAAAATGTATTTTGTGAAGGTGGGTCTGTTAGAAAGTCTTTACCCTGAAGTACCAGCTTCCCTACTATTTTTTTCTATGTAGTTCAACTTTTCATTTTAAAACTTGGACTATATTTCCAGATTTTTAACACCCTGAAAATTCCCATGCTTCAGCCCTTTTTTAAAGACATCATGCTTTTAATAGCCCAAATGAATGATTTTATCTTCTAATTTTATATATCTATTTCACACTTGTAATATATTGGAAAGGAGGTGCTTAAAACTTTGCAAAGAATGAATTGTTACCCCATTTCAAAAATAATCTAATGTTCTGTTTAAACAGCCTTAGCTTTAAGGGATTATTTCCCGGGGGAAGGGGGCAGGGCATGAAGTAAGTCACTCTGCAAATCAGAACTATTATAGTTCTGATTTGGACTTAAATCAGGACTTAACACTACTGTATTTAGATACGGGGTTTGAATATACGGATTTCAATACCTGTAAATACGGCTCTATCTTGTATTTGTACTGAAGTGTACAAAATTACACTAAAAAGTAATAAATATGTTTTGACTATATTGTGCGGTTATTTCAGAATAGTCTGTTTTGAAAGTCTTAGAATGCATAATTTGCATTTTAAAAAAATAACAGATCACTGCTAGACTTTTAATAGTAATTGTCATGTATCAGTTGCAATATAATTTCTTAATTGCAGTATTTTAATAAAAATTTTGGCTTAAAAGTTGGGATTCTTTAGATCCTGTTCTAATTTTCTGTACACATTTGTCCTCTTGATTTCTGAACTTTGGGAGTGCCCTAAATGCAGTCTGCCTAGGCAATCTCATCCAGGCTCTTGACTTTAAGAACCCTACTTTAAGGTCAACTTCATTCAAGTTATCTAGTCTTGATCTCAGAGCTCTCAACAGCAGACGGTTTAGATACTTGATTTAACATTGCGAATTCTCTAGAAAAAGAGCTCTTGATTTGTGTGCTTCAGACTTAATTCTCTAGGATTCCCATTTTCATTAATTGGCTCAAGACATAAATGAAGGAGTTACCCTTTATTATTTCTTTTCCCTCTAACACCCTCATCCTATATTTAAACCATCAAGATCCATAAGCTCTGCCTTAAAAATGTATTTGGATCTGTAGCTTCTCACTACTTTCATGTTTACCACTCCAATCCAACCTACAATCATCTTTGAGCCAGACCACTACCACAATCTCCTTACCTTTCTTTTCGCTTCTACTCTTAACTCAGCACCACAACCACACACACATATCTATTCTCCATACAGCCACCAGAGTGAAATATAAATCACATTCTTTTCACAATCCAGTAATTTAATGCTCAAAACAAAATGCAAAGCTCCTACTGTGGTTTACATGTTTAATCCCCTAAATTATATCACCACAGTCTCATCTACTAGTTTCTCACTTGCGTTGTACCCCCACCTGAGGGTTTTCTCCCTGCCTGGCTGGGAAGTTCTTTTCTTCGAGACTTGGATAGCTTGCTACCCGTTCAGTCTCTTCACAAATGTCACCTCAAAGAAGCATTTTCCTGATCTCCCATCTAAAAGGACACCATCACTATTCCTTCACTGTAGTTTTTGTCAAAGAACAGTGTGATGCATAGCATTCCATAAATACTTGAATGAATTATGAATACTAAATAACTACATACAGAATTTAAGAAAATTTACAAAGATTACTGAAAAATTTTCAACTTTTGATTTCGTCCTCTTAGATAGGAACAGCAACCAGCTTTTATTTCCTTTTAAGAAGTTGTTGGATTTTACTATTGGTTACCAAAACCTAACTGCAAATCTGTTTTAATTGTTAGCATTATGTGGTCTCTTTAAGCAAGATTAATGAACTGAACCAGTAATAATTAGAGCTTCCTGTAAACACATTTTAGGAGTAAGTAAACCAACAAGAAGTAAGATGCTACTTCTGATTAATAAGCTTGGGGAGACGGACCAGCAGGACCTGGCCCTGCTTCTGAAGGACAGAATTGGATGAGTTGTGTGGGTTGGGGACTATGCCCTGGTTTCACAAAGTAGGACGCTTTGATAATACCTTATCTTTGGTTCACATGATGCCTTGATATCCAACCAGGCCTTTCTGACTAATTTTTAGGACAGTATAGGAAGGAAACACTCTTGAATCATGTTCTAAGATGTGTCACTAATAGAACATTTGTACTGCACGTACCCATCATATGGAAAATGGCTGAGATGGCAAATTTTCTGCCTTTGTGAAGATGAAAGATTGACAGGCAAAAACTCATTATAAAAGTTTTAAGGTGCCTGTTAATTGCCCAATTAGATCAATCTATGGGGTATGTTAGGATCTCAATCTTTTTCTTTTCTTTTTTTTTTTTTTGAAGTACAATTTTGATTTATTTTTTCCCCCCAGAGAACTTTTCTTCACTCCTTAAAGACTTAGCTCCTTAAATGGGCTTTGGTGGAGGTTGTGGGGCAGCACCCGCCTGTGTAAATCAGGATGGGGGTGTTCGGTCCTTCGGAGCTTCACAAGAATGATTCCTGACTTCTTTGCTGTGAATGGCACAGCTCACACAGTAATGTAGTTTCACATTCAGCTTGGGGAGCACATAGGCGTCGAAGACACTTGCTTTGAAGATGTCCCTAATGGCTGTGGCCTCTACTATCTTTTGAATGACAAACTTAATACCCTTGTCCTTGGGCATGCACTGGGCGCAGTTGGTGCAACAAATAGGTTGCACATGGCCTTGGCCTTTTTTGGCACGACCGTTATTCCTTCTTTTCTTGGTCATCTTGGAAACCCACAATAATTTTCTTATTCTGTTTACGTAGTTTCAGGGTTATTACCTTAGATGAGAAAGGCAGGAAGCAAGGACAATTTTTGTCTCGTGTGTATTATATATCCCCATAAACTAGAGAAATTAGCACAAAGTTTGTACCCAAAATATTTAAATATTTGCTCTGTAAGATGACTCAATTTTGTATTTAAGATTAACATTTTCCAAAATACTTTAATTTTATATATATATTTTTTTTTATGAATTTTTATTTCAAGGAGGAAGGGAGACAGAAACATCAATGATGAGAGAATCATTGATTGGCTGACTCCTGCACACCCCACACTGGGGATCAAGCCCACAACCTAGGCATATTTCCTGACCAGGAATTGAACCATGACCTCCAAGTTCATTGGTTGATGCTCAACCACTGAGCCATGCCAGTCGGGCAAAATAATTTTTAAAATCATGACTTAAGAGCTCCAATTCTTAAAATGCCAATGCAATCTCAGGCTATATCTCTCTATACTTGTTTCACAAGCGCAAGAGTTCCAAAAATGCTATGCAAAATACTGATAATGGGTGCAGGTTAAGATAGCTGATATTCTCCATGCTTAACAAGTATTTAAAAAGCCAAAATATTCCTTCACAAATATCAAAAATATGAAAGAAACACAAACCTGTTCTATATTATTTGAAAAGTGGTGGCTGGAGAAAAAAAGGAAGATAGAAAATTTTGTTGTAGTTTAGCACATCTATTCACCCCTGAGTTTGTCAGGGTCCAGTCAGAAAATAGAAGTCTCCCTGGCTATTGCAAAAGGAGGGAATTTGAAACTGGTGGAGGCTAAAACTAAGGCAGGCCTGACTGGAAGAAAGGACAAAGGAGAGAGCTGGGAGCATGGACAAATGGATCCAAGTAAAAGACAAAGCCACTCACTGACTTAAGATGCTTTTTGAAGCAAAGAGAAACCCAGGCCTCCCCAGGCCTGGTTCTGCCTATATTGGCAGAACAAACTCAGAAGACAAAGAGTAAGAAAGCTTGTGACATTCTCTGAAATGCTGAGAAAGGGGGAAAAGTGAACTTGAGAGCAAACAAGCAAATAACCAGCACAACCTGCCCTCACTAGCAGAGCAAGGCAAGACAAAAAGCATGCCAGTGTGAGCACTATTTCCTAACAAAAGATAGGGGAGCAGTGTCTAAGTTCTAAGAAATATCTAAGAAAATATACTATGACTCAAATATACTTACTAACTTGTTCAAACATAAGAGACAGCAGAGACTCCAAAACATGAAAGGGTCAGAGACTTACTGCACTCACTAGATCTCAAAGAAAATGACAAAAAAGAATCTAAACAAAAGTTAAAGAATGGTAGTAAAAGCACTGCTGGTGTTTGGGAAGCATTTTACACATGCAACTGCAGAATGATGGAAAATGTGGTACAATAGCATAGTAAAATGTGGAAATGTTTAAGTAATAAAATGGGAGGTGGTGAAAAGATGGGAGGAAGCATAAGTGCATTCTTTTCTTTTTTTAGTTAGAAGGTCCAATGTTTACTGGTCAGAAAGGTGCTATGCACTGGGCAGATCAGGTTCTTGCTTTTGTGATGCTGACATTTAAATGAAGGCAAAAACAATTTTAAAAAGTAAATGCACAAAAAAATTCAGACTTCATATACACAATATACATTAAATATAGAAATAATTGCTATAAGAAAATAAAAGCATACTAATTAGAGATCTACAAATCTATAAGGGTGAGGGATTTTAGATCATGTAGTTAGAAAAAGCTTCCCTGAGGATACGACCTTATCTGAGGCCTGAGAAATGAGAACAAAACAGTCATGTGAAGCTCAACATTATATCATCCTTAATGACTAAACACTGGAAGCAGTGCCATAAGATTCAGACCATCGCCTTTGTTGTTTTCAATCCTGTCTGGGAAGTACTAGCCAATGCAGTTAGACAAGAAAAAGAAATGAGCTATAAAAATGAGATAGGAAGAGGGCAAATTGTAGTGATTGTCAGTGATATGTATCTGGAAAGTAAAGATAAAATTATTTAATATTCAGTAAAAGGGCTAATTATAACTTTACTATGCAAACATCAATAACTTTGTTGCATAGAAAATAAAAGTAAAGATTTAGTTTACTATGCCAATTAAATCAACACATAGATTAGTCTCTTCAATAAATGGTATTGGGAAATCTGGATATTCATATGCAAAATAATGAAATTGGACGCCTATTTTACACTACTCACAAAAATTAACTTGAGATGGATTAAAAACTCAAATGTAAGACCTGAAACTTGCAAAACTAGAAAAAAGCACAAGGTAAAAGCTCCTTGACATTGGTCTTGGCAACAAAAGCTAAAATCAATAAGTGGAACTACACCAAATTAAAAAGCTTCTGCACAACAAAATAAGTAAAATGGCAACCTATGGAGTGGGAGAAAATATTTGTTAATCATGTATTTGACAAAAATTTAATATGGAAAATACATGAGGGCCCTAGTCGGTTTGACTCAGTGGATAGAGCATCAGCCCTCAGATTGAAGGGTCCCAGGTTTGATTCCGGTCAAGGGTATGTACCTTGGTTGCAGGTATGATCCCCAGCCTGGTCAGGACATGTACGGAAGGCAACAAATCAATGTGTCTCTCTCACATTGATGTTTCTCTTCTCTCTCCCTCCCTTCCACTCTCTCTAAAAATCAATGTTAAATATCCTCCGGTGAGGATTAACACACAAAAACAACAACAAGAATGTGATAAACTCATATCTCTCAGCAAAAAGAATCTGGTTTAAAAATGGGCAGAGGCCCTGAATAGACATTCTTCCAAAGAAAACATAGGAATGACCAACAAACACATGAAAAGGTACTCAACATCACTAATCATCAAGGAAATGCAAATTGAAACCACATGAGATGTCACCTCACACTTATAAAAAGGGTATTATCAAAAAAGTGGTAAGAATTGGTGAGGCTATGGAAAACAGGAACCCTTGTGCACTGTTGGTGGGAATGTAAATTGGTACAGCCACTATGAAAAGTATGGAAGTTCCTCAGAAAATTAAAAATGAAATTACGCCCGGCCGGTTTGGCTCAGTGGTTGAGCATCAATTTATGAACCAGGAGGTCATGGTTCTATTCCTGGTCAGGGCACATGCCTGGGTTGTGGGCTCAATCCCCAGTAGAGGCCATGCAGGAGGCAGCTGATCAATGATTCTCATCATTAATGTTTCTATCTCTCCCTCTCTCTGAAATCAATAAAAATATATTAAACAAACAAAAAATGAAATTACTATATGATTCAGTGACCTCACTTTGGGTGTCTGAAGGAAATGAAATCACTATCTGTACCCTCATGTGCATTGCAGCATTATTAGCATAGCCAAAATATGGGAAGAACCTAAGTGTCTGTCAATAGATCAAGAGGTAAAGAAAATGTGGTATATATACAATGGAATATTATTCAGCCATTAAAAGGAAGGAAATCCTGCCATTTGTGACAATATGGGTGAAACTTGAAGGCATTATGCTAGTGAAATAAGTTAAAGACAAATACTGTATGATTTCACTTATATATGGAATCTAAAAAAGCTGAACTCAGAGAAACAGTAGAATGGTGGTTGCCAGAGGCTAATGGTTGGTGTCAAAGGCTACAAACTTCCAGTTATAAAATGAACGAGTTCTGAGGATCTAATATACAGTATGGTGACTATCCTATATAATAAAAGGCTAATATGCAAATCAACTGAATGGCAGAACAACTGGTTGCTCTGACACGCACTGACCGCCAGGGGACAGACTCTCAATGCAGGAGCTGCCCCCTGGTGGTCAGTGCACTCCCACAGGGGGAGCACCACTCAGCCAGAAGCCGGGCTCACAGCTGGCAAGCACAGCAGCAGTGGCGGGAGCCTTTCCTGCCTCTAAGGCAGCACTAAGGATGTCCGACTGCCGGCTTAGGTCTGCTCCTCGGGCCTCTTGTAGTTAATAATATTGTAGTGTATACTTGAAAGTTACTAAGAGTAAATGTTATAACTAAAAAAAATATATCATGGCCCTGACCGGTTTGGCTCAGTGGATAGAGCGTCGGCCTGTGGACTCAAGGGTCCCAGGTTCGATTCCAGTCAGGGGCATGTGCCTTGGTTGAGGGCACATTCCCAGTGGGGAGTGTGCAGGAGGCAGCTGATTGATGTTTCTCTCTCATCGATGTTTCTGACTCTCTATCCCTCCCTCTTCCTCTCTGTAAAAAATCAATAAAATATATATTTTTAAAAATTTAATAAATAAATAAATATATCATGTAAAGTAATGGATATATTAACTGTCTTATTATGGTAATCATTTTGTAATATGTACACATCAAATCATTGTGTTGTAACACCTTAAACTTACACATTGTTATGTGGTAATTTTTTCTCAGTAATGCTGGAAAAAGAGACAAGGTCTACGTAAAAATATACTTTAAAGTTTTCCTGTGGAATACTTAAGATTAAGTAGAAAACATGTATATTCTTTTTTAAAAAAAATTTTTTATTGATAAACATCAATGAGAGAGAAACATTGATCAGCTGCCTCATTGTTGTTTTGATTTGCATCTCTCAGATGATTAGTGACTTTGAGCATGTTTTCATATGTCTCTTGGCCTTCTGTTTGCCCTCTTTCAAAAAGTGTCTATTTAAGTCCTTTGTTCATTTTTTGATTGGATTGTTTATCTTCCTTTAGTTAGGTTGTATGAGTTCTCTGTAAATTTTGGAGATTAAACCCTTACCTGAAATAGTATTGGCAAATATGTTCTCACATGCAGTGGGTTTTCTTGTTGTTTTGTTGATGGTTTCTTTTGCTGTGCAGAAGCTTTTTATTTTGATGCAGTCCCATTTGTTTATTTTCTCCTTAGTTTCCATTGCCCTAGGAGCTGTATCGGTAAAGATTTTGCTACGACATATATCTGATATTTTGCTGCCTATGGAGTCTTCTCAGATTTTTATGGTTTCCCATCTTATATTTAAGTCCTTTAACCATTTTGAGTTGGTTTTTGTGTGTGGAGTAAGTTGGTAATATTGTTTCATTTTTTCTCCATGTATATGACCAAGTTTCCCAGCACCATTTATT